ATTGTAGAATAGCAGAGAACAAAATGTGCCAGCTATGTTTGGCATGAGAAACTCTCTTGTGCTGTTCCAGTGTATATGTAGTATTGTAGCAGCTCAGCTATGCTCATCTAGTGAATTAATATTGAAGTCCTGGTCATGTTTGTGAATTTTTGTTCCCCCCCCCCCTTGCAGATAAAGTGGATGATCCTATGTGTGAGGTTCAGATTTCAAGGATGTTGGAGCTCCCATGCCTCTATAGAGAAGTTTATGATAAGCCTTTCAAAATCCCAGAGGAGGCACAGAGGTAAACAGGATACTGATGTTGGTGTCCAGCTAGGTGTGAAATATCCACACCCCTTAGCAGAACTGAATGTGGATCTCCATCATGGAGATGAATGTCATGGTAACCAGATTAAAAGCAAAGGCTGTTGTGCAGCGTGCTCTTGCACTGGAAAAGGCTGCCCTTTAGATTTTCATGGCCAAGATCTTTTGGGGCGGGAGACCAAAACAGGAAACATTAGAAGACATCTCCCATTAACCCCACCTCTGCACATACACAACTAAAAGTATGAACTAATTTCTTTGGATGGTACAGCCCTTTGACACAACATTCTTTGCTCCAGCCACTGATGTGATACTACAGCAGAACGTGAGAGTCTGTAAAAACAGCTAGTGAGGAATATGGACTGTTCCTGAATGTGATGAAAACAAAATGCATATGCGTTGACACAGCTAACAAAAACAGGATGCAAGTGGGCATGATGATTAACGGAGAAGTTGTAGAGGCAGTAGATTAATTTAATTATCTGAGATCATATATATCCAACCAGAGAGGCTGTTCCAAGGAAGAAAACTAAGGATTGGCTTGCTAAGCTATGGGCCTCCCTTAAGTGTGGAAAAAATATGGCATCTCAATGTATAAAGGTCTGACTGGTGAAAAGCCTAACTTTCTCCATAGAGATTTATGGATGTGAATCATGGGAAGCTTTACTGCTGACAGGAAAAAAATGTAAGCTTTTGAAATGTGGTGCTGGCAAAGGCTCTTGCATGAAGACAAATACCTGTGTTCGAAATATTATTGGAGAGAAGCAGACCCTAGTGTCAGAAATCAACAGATGGAAACTTATGTCCTTTGGTCATATTAGGCATAGAGATGGAAATAACCTTGAAAAAGTTATTATGGAAGGAATGGTGGAGGGTTGTTGTAGGGGATGAGCATCAAGGAGATGGATGGATGGTGTGTGGCAGATCACTGGAAATTCAGCTGCTGAGTGCTTGCAGTTAGTGATGGATTGTGAAGGTTTCCAAGAATTCTGTTATAATGTCACCAATATTCAG